GAAGGGGTCCCCAAATCTCCCTACTAGAGAGACTGCCTCTGTCATTTGGTATATTGGGCTTTGGGGTGAGATTTCACTCGAATGAGGGGCTCTTAGGCTTTATAAATAGCTTTGAAACACTCGCTCCTTCTAAGGGCCTTCCTGGCTAAACTAAGCTAAGCTAGTTGCCCCGGGCCTGTGTCATTCCATCTGAGCTGGGTGGGAAGAAGGCAGTCTGCTCAGCTGGGCTACCTGAGGCCAATTAACCAACCTCTCGGAGTTTTTGGGTTTTGGCATATAAAACCCCAAAGCAGGTAATCATACCTCCCTCATAAGGCTGAGGCGAAGCTTAAGGGGGAACCACTCTCACAGCCCCCAGCCCACTGCCTGGTACATGGCAGCCACTCAAAAAACAGGCAAGTCCTTCTGCCCTCAAGGTTATAACAATCACCTGTGCATGCGTGACTCAGCAGTTCAACAGGTGTTTGATACCAAACCCTTGATCAAAGAATAAATAAGACAGGATCCCTCCCTCAGAAACTCACTATAAAGGGATCCCCAAACCATGGCCTCAACTCTCCAAATCACCCCCCACTCCCTAGACCGTCCTGCAAAGAGTCACCCTTTCCTACCCCTATGGGGAAGTATAACTGTCTCCCCAATGGCCTGGGACCCATTTGAATCCTCCTCTCTCCCACCCCTACCTGTGCAAGATTATAGTCTGATGGTAAGTGCTTGGCTTTCAGGCCCAGGCCCACCTGTATTAAAATCCCAGTTCTGCAGTATACCGACCATATCACCTTTGACAAGCGGTTCTCAACTGGGGATGATTTTGCCCCACAGGGGACATTTGGCACTATCTGAAGACTTTTTTTTTTTTGGTGGGGGGAGGTATTTAGGTTTATTCATTGATTTATTCTTAGAGGAGGTTCTGGGGATTGAACCCAGGACCTCATGCATGCTAAGCACGCACTCTACCACTTGAGCTACACCCTCCTCCTGAAGACATTTTTGATTGTCATAACTGGGAGCAGAGGTGGGTAGAGGGCCAGAGCTGCAGCCAAACATCCCACAGTGCCCAGACCCTCCCCCCACAACAAAGAATTATCTGGCCCCAAAACGTCAATAGTGCCAAATTTGAGAAACCCTGCCTTGAGTGAATAATTTAACGTCCCTGGGCTTCAGTTTCCTCATCTGTAAAATAGGGTTGATAATAGTATTTACCTTGTAGAGCAAATAGGTTCAACAAGGTGATGCAGATACCTAGTGCCTAATAATAGTAGGTACCCATAAATCTTCCCGACGTGAATTGTTATCACTGTGCCCCTGGAATCCCTCCTGGCTTCACTCTTCCGCTGAGCCCACTCCAGATAGCTTACCTCTTGCCAAGGCCAGTGCCTCTGATCCTTCCTTGCTGGTCTCAGTGCCTCCCTTCTCTCCTTCTTGACCCCAGTTTTATCAAGCAGCCAGAATCCTCTCCCTCAGGCCTCCATCCCCAAACCAGGAGGCTGCCTCCTTCTCCCACGTCTCCCACCTGCCTCGTCTCCCACACTTTCCTGCCTCATCTCTAGCATCTCCCTGCTCAGCTCGGCTGCACACCCCCCTCGGTTCTTTCCCGTTCCAGCACCTCTGCACAGACTTCCTCTCCGCACCAGTCCACCCCCGCTCCTCCCACGCCTCCCGCCAAAGTGGCATAAGATAGCGAAGAAGTCCTGGACCAGGCAGCCTGTTCCAAGTCCTCAGCTTGGCCTGTTACTTACAGTCTAGTTTGGGGAAAGTCAGCCTCAGCTGTAAAACAGGGAAATAATCTCCAGCCCATGAGGTGGTCTGGGAACCAAGTTGAGAATGTATATGAAGACATACAACTATAAAGACTGTCAAAGTGTAAGTTACTCGGTTTGTTGAGCATTGTCCCACTTTATATTTTTATTTTCTTGGCGCTTACCACCTTCTAACAAACTATAATTTTGTCTTTTATTTATGGACCATCTTCCACTAGAATGTCAGTTCCATGAGGGTGGGGATTTTTGTCTGTTTTAGTCACTGCTGTGTCCCTAGTGTCTAAAGCATCCCTGGCACACAGTAGGTGTTCAATAAGTATTTGTTGGATGAGTGAACTCAAGATCTATGTATAAGGCCCTTCTGTAAAGCCCTAACTCTACCTCCTCCAAGAAGGCTCCCTTTAAATGCATGTTAATCATTGCAGCATCGCCATTTTATGGACAATGAAATTGAGGCTGTAAGAAGAGAAATAACTTGCCCAAAGTCACTCACTTGAAAAGTGACCAGGCCAGATGCTTTTGTTTTTTTGAGCTTCCTGTATGCCAGGCATTGGACCAGGTGTTAGGGACACAGATGACCAAGACTTAGTCCCTCCTGTTCCTCATAGCACTTTTGGGAGGAAGGGTCATAGAGGGAGGCCCAGCATGCTATGGGAACAGAGGAGGAACCCCCTCTAAGGTCACTGGTCTTCAAGACAAGTGCTCCTTCCACTATACTCTGATACCACTTATTAATGTTCCAGCTCCCAGGCTTCTGGAATCCATTTGGAATTCATTATCCAGTCCAGGGTTCTATGCTCTCTTTAACCACTTGTGCTTGGTTTTGCCTCTCCCTATGTTTTCCCTACCAGTGGATATAGCTCAACCCCTGTGTCTTAGATGGCCACTCTGCCCATGTTATAGATGAGGAAACTGAGGCCCAGAGAATTCAGCAGCAGATCTGTCATCACACAGCAAGTGGCCTCTACCCAGTCCCAACTCCCACCAACCCTCACCCCCAGCAGGCTCCACTTCTCTGGATCGGGCCTTCCCTGCTCTCTCCTGCTTCTTCTGGGACTGGTAATCTACACCTGAGAGCAGGAGAGCAGATGATGCCATTTGGGATACAGAGTTAGGATTGAATATTCAGGATAAAGTCTCAGTTTGAAGTTCAGATTTAGGATTGAGGCCACTGTGGTGGTGGTGGTGGTGGTGGTGGGTGGAGAGACCCTTTGAAAAGAACCTAGAGTGAAATTTAGGGTGAGATTCGCTCTCCTTTCTCCCACCTCTTTTCTCCAAAGATGAGGAGGTCTGGGATAGGAAGGGTTAATTGTGGTTTTGCTTTCCCAGCCAGGAGGGGAAGCCAGGGCCGGCTGGGGACTGGGTGGGGTGGGGGGTGGGGCTCAGTGCCAGATGGGGGGGTGCCGAGGCAGTGGGAACAGCTTTTGTCCCTCACGTTTCACTGGCTTACCCACCCCACCTCTGCTTCTGGTTTGGGGAACACAAGAGGGAGAAGCAGAACAGGACTTTTTGTTTTGTCTGGGAGGCTGAAGTTGGGTGCCGCACCCTGGGGGAGAGGGCTGCAGGAAGTGGAAGCCAATATTCCTGGTCCCTCAACTGGTGCATTCTGGATACTCACCACACTGCCCAGTCAACCCTGCAGAGATGCGAACCCAAGCATCCCCTTTCTGGTTCCCCTCCCTGAACACTGAGAGCCCTGCCTTAGTCCCACTGCAGCCCCTTGTCCCTCTGAGGCCAGCTCCAGAACCCAGAACAGAGGACCTGTCCAGCTCTGCTTCCCTTGTGTGTCCTGATGTCCTGGAGCTGGAGGAGTTAGCAACATAATTTAATTTCTCAGGTTCCTCATCAGAGAATAAACTGTGGGAGGCACAGGGGCAGGGCAGGAAAGCACATGGGCTCTGGAGTTTCAGCCATAGCCACCTCTTAGGGTGAGGTGGTTGGTGCGGCCAGGGTCAGGATTGTTGGGCAGGGGAGTAGAAGGCTGATCAAAGGGGTCCTTGGTGCATCCTGAGGATGGAAGCTCCAGAGCCTCTGGTGGGGAAGCCTGGGGACATAGGTGATCCTGTTTTGTGAGAGGGCCTGGCCCCTCCCCAGAGCCAGATGCAAAGCAGACCTGGTCAGAGAGGAATGCAGAGATAAGTGCTGTGCTGGCCTTTGCAGCCAGCAAGGTGGCTGGAGTCTTTGCTGTCCCTACCCTCAACGAACCCTGAATGCAGGATGGAGACCCAACTTTGGCTGTCCAGCCCCCTGCCTTGCTCCCCTTTTCAGGCCCCTCTGGGAACCACAAAAATCTGGGACCTGGTGTCCTGGCAATGTGATGAATGCATGTACAGCTCTGGTATCTGTTTTAAATTATCCATTAACATAAGTACAGCCCTGGAAAAAAAAATAAGTACAGTCCTGGAGTTAGTGGGGAGGGATGAGGAGTAGAAAGGGACTGAAGGGAGGAGGAACCTAGGCAGACTCTTTTTCCAAATTCTTGGGTCCGAAGGAAGGCAGCAGGGAACGGGAGGAAGTGCCTGGGTCCTATTCTCGGCCTTCTCTGGGGCCTGTGGCTTGTTGCTTGGGTCTAAGAGTCAATGGTTGGTTTTGAAGAGAGATTAAATTGGGGCAGAAGATATGCAAAAGAGTGACTCTAAACTCCTGGTCCCCACCCCAAATTTGAGGGTGTAAAAGGAACTCAGGATCCAGAACTTTGCTGCAGCCCTCCCTGCAACCACCCCAGGGAACCAGGCATTCCTTCCCCACCTCACCCTGGCATACTGAGATGCAGCTTTGAATGGGCTGCCCACGGGGGTGGGGCCCGTGGGTAGGGGTGACTCACTATTACTATGGGGAGGAAAGGGTGAGCCAGTGGTGGAAGAAGAGTGAGTCACCCTGATGGGCATCAGCTTCAGCCCTCCTTCCACTTTCCTGGATCTGCCCACTTTCCCTCTCCCCCCTGCCCTTTGCCCACTCACTCGCACCCCTTGGCTCTGCCTTCTACTCCCGAAGGCCCTGGACAGTGGGGGCCAGCTTGCAGCTTGGAACGTTGAGCAGGCAGGGACCAAGATGGGAGCTTCAGTGAAGCCCCAGGCAGGCGGGGGTGCGCGAGAGAGAGTGGGGCTGGACTCCACCACAGCCAGGCGGTCCTCTTCTCTCCTCATCTCTCCCTCCCCCACCACTGTGGGTATGTGACGGCCCCTTTAAGAGCAGTAGCCCCTCCTCCCATTCCCTAGACCTATTAGAGCCTTTGCTCGGGTGCCGGTGACTCAGAGTGTTCGCGGGAGCGCCGCATCCACACCGGCCAACCCAGATCCTGAGGTCGACAGCTCCCGGCCCAGATCCCCACGTCTGCCAAGAGCAAGCTGAGAGCCAGCCGGCCGGCGCGCTCCCACCCCGA